GACACAGTATACTGACTCCGAGCCGACCAGTCCTTGTTTTAGCCCCTTAATGCCGAGCGCCAGACAGGGTAACAACAAGTACCATCTTTTAACGTCTTTTGGTATGACGCAGCTGGGGATTGAACCCCGAACCTTCCGCTCTCTGGGCGGACGCTCTACCACTAGACCACGGAGGCGGTCTATAAGAAAATAGTCTGTAATCTACTTACAGCATTTATTTAGGTTACAGTACTTTGTTGTCATACAATGTGGCCAGCATGTTACATATAAATATGATCTTGCTGACCTAATTTCGACCGATATATTCTATGTTTGGGTAGACAAAGTCTGATAGCATCTTTATCATCATAAGTACAAAGAATAAAGATTTGATGGAAGTATGCCAAATTGCTTTATGAAATGTTAGAAAGCTGACATCTGATTGGCTGCAAAAAAATATTCTTCATTTATTTTGATTGGGCAATCAATGTGACATCTGGTCTTGATGGATAGCGGCATGAAAGCAAGGCAAACATGGTGAATATGGACAATGCTCCAATTGTAATGAGATTGTTCGATCAAATATCCAGTATGCCCTGAGATTCAATTGATAACAGGTTACAATAGTGACATCATATTCAAAAAAAGATTTGATTTTGGTGTACGATATTCAGCTGCAGCACTTCCTGTCAGTGATGGACTGACCTAGAATGTGTCACAAGAGCACATGTCTTGCAGGATTCAGGATAAGAACATGTCCCCATCAACTTCTGCTTATCAGAGTGAGTGAGTGAGTGAGTGAGTGAGTGAGTGAGTGAGTGAGTGAGTGAGTGAGTGAGTGAGTGAGTGAGTGAGTGAGTGAGTGAGTGAGTGAGTGAGTGAGTTGGGTTAACGCTGCTTTTAACAGTATTCCAGTTAAATCACGGTGTGTCAGCTTAATGTGGGAGGAAAGCCCGAGGTGATGCAGGGCCCCGTTTCACAAAGCGATCTTAGCGCTAAGTCAGTCATAACTCCCACTCTTTAACACTGATTTACGACAGTCTTAGTGCTAAGATCGCTTTGTGGAACGGGTCCAAGGTCTCAGACGTTTACCATTTCGGTGAAACCAACGAGCATGGGTATGGTGCTGACAAACCTAGAAACATAATCGGGACGAACCGGGATTCGAACCCACAATCATAGGTTTCTGGCATGTCCAAGGCAAGCATCTCTGCACAGCAGAAGACGAAATGAATTGTGTAGTCTGGTACAGTGCCGACAATGGTAAAAAGCACAATACTCCCAAGAAGTTACTATGTATTATGACACACCACTCACACGTTCCACAATATCAACATGATTAAATCTTTGTGATGATGCAGGCTAAAATTGCTGGTCATTGGCAAAATGACAAATACAATGTCAGGGTTTTACTTTGACTTACAAAAGTGGGGGTCCATGAGACCCCCAAAATTAGTCTGAACATGTTGAAGGGTCCTTGCAGTTGCAGGCAATATGAAGGTCCTGTAAAGTAGCGAACTGGTGTTGTGTACTGTATGTTTACATGTGTAATTATCCATATGATCATGTGGACAGTGGTCATGCTTGATGTATGAACTGCTCTTGATACACTGTAGGTACAATGAATATTCTTGTTATCCCTCAGGACGAAATTATTTTTTCTGCATCCATTCTTTACATTTGTGCGTACTGGATGCACATCTGTGTGTTGAGTAAAACCCTCCTATATGGCTAGCATGTTTAACATCAAATCTGAGTTTTGCGAAATTTATAAAATCCACATTGGATCTTTCATGTAACATTTAAGACATTTTAGACGGCAAGTAGATGGTAAGACATGAATGAAGGACAGGCAGTGCAAGATGGGCATTGATTCTGGAGAGCTAACATTTGAATTCCTGATTTTACTGTGGCATGCACAACCAACACACGTTGAGCAAGTTTGGAATTTAGATCCAACCCCAAACAATTCCTGGTGACAGCGGTACTGTAAATCATGGCATACAATGAGACTGAATTACTTAAACCTTGAAGGTCGGCATTATAGATATTGAAGATTGCGAAACCAAATAAATACGGGCCACATATGAGGTACGTGAATACACACTGATCAAGGTGATTAACGTTGCCTAGGTATGCACTCAGCTCTGCTCTGATCTCATCAATAATTTACTTCAACAGGCTTAGGACTTAGAGTCTGGCACCGAGTGGGAAGGAGAATTCACATTTATAGGACCTTTACACGTTCCAGCACAAAACAAACCTGTCATGTATCAATAAGGTCACAAGGTTCTAGTCAGATTTCACCTTTTTTGTGATCATAAGAATGAAAGTGGAGGAAGCCGGATCCTGATGTTAATCATACAGAGCTATAGATAAGCTTTATGTTATTTGGGCATTTTACCCAGGGGGGGAATTTAATTGGGTAGCCACAGTTTTTAGAAGGTATTCCAAAACCTTTTACACACCTGCTGCTCGACATTATGGTATTTTACTTAAAACCTGTTTCATAACAATCCCTGTAAATCATTGAAAACTTTGTGAATAGTAGTATACCTGTCTGTATCTGCATGCCGCTCCCACTCCAGGAAGCCTTTATTTGTTTACAAAACCTAGCACTGTAAGAAAGGTGCTATTGTTTTAATCACCAATCAGCAACTAATTAGATACAACATGTACATTGACTAGACACGATGTGCTTTTCAAATGGCATCTATCATTATGTTTGTTGCAGGAGCTTTTCCAAATGTAACTGTCGGTAAGTGAATTTCGCGATCAGCTGATACACAATCATTTTATCTAAAAGTTGTTATATATACGCACTTATTTTATTTCAATAGCATATTTATAGTTTATATATACGCAGCTCATCTCATGTTCTGACAGATCAGGCATAAGGCTCTCCAAAGAAAATAACGCATGGACTGTCTGAGCATTTATTGTATATTAAATCAGAATAGAAATATCACATGTACCGGTACATGCTTCAAGTGTTTATTAGTTTCAATTATTCCACCACGCATACGCTTTGGCTGTAGATTACGGAGTATTTCAGTCCATTCTTAGGGAGCATCCATTTGATATCTGGAGGGTGGGTGGGAAGATATTCTAAATTAACAGTTCTTCAGAAATATGCCCAATGTTGGTGGTGGTGAAAAAAATGAAAAGTTAGTTTGAATTTTCTATTTTAGTTCTTAAAAACCGAATTTTCATGAAATCAAAATTATCAATGAATTAATAGGAAATACCCAAACGTCAAAGATTTTGTGTTGATAGTGAAAGTGAATAGATTGTTAGATGGTTCTCAGTAAATATATAATTTGTTAGAAACAGTTTGGGATGAAGTAGGTTGCTCTAAAAACCCCTAATTCCCGCACCCACATCCTGACCCACCCTACATTCTCCCTTGATATTTAGGCATATAGGAAGCTATGTTTTGCATCTGGAAAAGACCTGAGGGATGTGTGTCTTCAAAACATGGGTAATTCCCTCAAAATAATATGCTTCAATATGTAGATTTGGTAATTATCCTGATAACGATCAGCAAGTAACCATATCTCATACCATTGTGTGTGTGAAATAACACCATGCACACATTCTTCATAAACCTAACAACAAACAGACTGATTGTACGATCCATTAATGGATCGATCGGGACATTCAAAACAATTATTGATTGCCAATATATCTAATCAATAAAGTAATTCTGTATATAAAGTTTGCTGTGCTGCAGTTCAAAGCCTGTCTCACATTTTTCAAAACCATCTCAGGCATAAACAGGGCCAAGGTGGCCTATGACGTATGATAAAATGTCAATTGGTGTCTCATTGGTAGGTTATTTTTTTCACTGTAGGTTTCAACTTTTACCTTGTATTATTTGCACAGTACAAATAATTTTTTTTATTGAAAAACAAAGTCTATGATATGCCCTGGGAACTTCTCTTTCCGTCAGCCGAATGAGTTCCGCCACCTCTTCCATCACTTGAGGTGCATTATGTTGTTCCATGAGAAAAAACTCAGATTATTATTGACTAATAATCAGTTTGAGAGGTCTGGTAATACATGAATATTGAGGGCAATAACCAGCGTTAGAAATTGGCACTAGTCCTGTAGTCCTTACCAAACTGCCCAATAGTAAAGGTATCCTAAGGACTAGTAGGAATTGGCCCATTTTAAGGGTTTTGCTATATGTTATCATTATAAGGACTAGCGGATAAAAACTGTTAGTTTCTAACCCTGAATAACCAGCCCAGAGTAAACAGATGTGAAGACTGACTGTTAGATGTCTGCACTGCAGCTGTCTGGCCGATATACTGCAGGGAGTAGGGCTAACTTGCTCCACACTGCAGGGATTTACCTGGTCTATGGGGTCCTGGGGACTTTACGTAATAATTTGGGGTTTAATTGCATGATCATGAGGGTCCCAGGCTGGTGACAGGGTGTAACGATTCACTATCCAAAAGTGTTCATAGATCATGTCCCTGCACAAAGAGTTTAAGAGTATTACACTTATATTGTGAGTGAGTGAGTACGCCGCTTTTAGCAATATTCCAGCAATATCACGGTGGGGCATTCAAAATTGGCTTCACACAATGTACCCACATCAGGAATCGAACCTGGGTCTTTGGCGTGACGAGCGAACGCTTTAACCACTAGGCTACCCGACTGCCCCTTTATATTGGTAAATGTACACTCGGATATGATTTTTTCTGCTTACAGGTGGCTGCGAGATTAAAAATTAATTTATTTTTAGTGATATGTATTATTCCATAATAGAGTTATCTTTGCGCACTTGCAAACTTTCCTGTTTCAATATTTCTCCATGTGAATAAGAACAAGTTGTGAATAAGTTTTGTCTTGTAGATCAGATTATTTTGATAAATTTTTCCTACATATTTGGTGATTATTCAGTGATGTTTACTGGAGGGAATGTTTATGAAATAATGATGGGTTGTAGATTTGGACAATATGGTTAATGACAATAGCGACATCAAACCTCAGCATGCTGTGTGTTCACCTACCTGGTGTGACAAACTTTGTTGCCTTTGTGTTGCCATAGATGTCGAGGAACAACCAGAGTGTCCTGTTGGTGGGTAGTCGTGACAGGTACACCCCCTTGTGTTCATTGTTAATGAACACTTGTAGATGTCCCTCTGTCGTCACATAGAACGTCACACGCGTGCCGGATGCGGTCAGGTTCTCGTTCACAGACCGACCCCAGTAGCCTTCCTTCTTCAGCAGATCAGGAAATGCAAATTTTGGGAGGTCAGCCTGGGTCAACTTGTTTGGGTCGTTTGTGGTGACTCCGATCCGAAGAGCACCACTCCATGATGAAACACAGGTGAGTTCCACGCAGAGCTTTTGGCCGACCTTGATGGCCTGGTCACCGAACACTAGCCCATTACAAAAATGGGCCTCTGACCTCGTCGCTTGCTTTCTGTCATCAGACAGGACGATGGCTTTACCATGGACATGGTGAAATTTCATTATGCTCCAAGGAATTCCATTTTGGATTTGATAAACCTCACTTCGAAAAACAAAACTGATACCTAGTCATTCATAAAATCCACAGATATGTTATTGAATAATTTCGCCATTTTTGTCGAGTTAGATAAGATGATTCTTGATGACCACAAAAAACAAGCCTCTCTTAAATCCTGACATGGGTGGTTTGACGTCCGGGAAGTTCTGCCACATGTCAGAGGACCAGCTCCAGGGGCCACTTGTTCCAAGTCTGGAAGCAGAAGGAGACAAAGATTTATACAAGCAAACAGTTGGTCTGTTTGGTGACACAGATGCCACACCAAATCAATAGAGACAGGTAACTAACCTGGCTGTGTTAATTAGAGGATCCAGCCACTGATGTTGCTGGCTCTACGGAACTGGGGGCAGGTTACTAAGGTGGGGACGGGTGTCTGTTGGTAACATGGCCAGCAGATCACATGGGGGTCATGTCAGTGTCATGTGGCACTGGCACTCACACAAAATTAATTAGCCTGTGGCTGGAGCTGCAAGGGGAATGTCCTGAGGGGGTGGTGGAGGTGATGTGGAGGACGTGGTGAACAATGGGGAATGTCCTGAGGGGGTGGTGGAGGTGATGTGGAGGACGTGGTGAACAATGGGGAATGTTCTGAGGGGGTGGTGGAGGTGATGTAGAGGATGTGATGAACAATGGGGAATGTCCTGAGGGGGTGGTGGAGGTGATGTGGAGGACGTGGTGAACAATGGGGAATGTCCTGAGGGGGTGGTGGAGGTGATGTGGAGGGGGTGGTGGAGGTGATGTGGAAGGGGTGGTGGAGGTGATGTGGAGGGGGTGGTGGAGGTGATGTGGAAGGGGTGGTGGAGGTGATGTGGAGGGGGTGGTGGAGGTGATGTGGAAGGGGTGGTGGAGGTGATGTGGAAGGGGTGGTGGAGGTGATGTGGAAGGGGTGGTGGAGGTGATGTGGAGGGGGTGGTGGAGGTGATGTGGAAGGGGTGGTGGAGGTGATGTGGAGGACGTGGTGAACAATGGGGAATGTCCTGAGGGGGTGGTGGAGGTGATGTGGAGGACGTGGTGAACAATGGGGAATGTCCTATGGGGGTGGTGGAGGTGATGTGGAGGGGGTGGTGGAGGTGATGTAGAGGATGTGATGAACAATGGGGAATGTCCTATGGGGGTGGTGGAGGTGATGTGGAGGGGGTGGTGGAGGTGATGTGGAGGACGTGGTGAACAATGGGGAACGTCCTGTGGGGGTGGTGGAGGTGATGTGGAGGATGTGATGAACAATGGGGAATGTCCTGAGGGGGTGGTGGAGGTGATGTGGAGGGGATGGTGGAGGTGATGTGGTGAACAATGGGGAATGTCCTGAGGGGGTGGTGGAGGTGATGTGGAGGGGGTGGTGGAGGTGATGTAGAGGACGTGGTGAACAATGGGGAATGTCCTGAGGGGGTGATGGAGGTGATGTGGAGGGGGTGGTGAACAATGGGGAATGTCCTGAGTGGGTGATGGAGGTGATGTGGAGGGGGTGGTGGAGGTGATGTAGAGGATGTGATGAACAATGGGGAATGTCCTGAGGGGGTGGTGGAGGTGATGTGGAGGGGTTGTGGAGCTGATGTGGAGGACGTGGTGAACAATAGGGAATGTCCTGAGGGGGTGGTGGAGGTGATGTGGGGGACGTGGTGAACAATGGGGAATGTCCTGAGGGGTGGTGGAGGTGATGTGGAGGGGGTGGTGGAGGTGATGTGGAGGGGTTGTGGAGGTGATGTGGAGGACATGGTGAACAATGGGGAATGTCCTGAGGGGTGGTGGAGGTGATGTGGAGGGGGTGGTGGAGGTGATGTAGAGGACGTGGTGAACAATGGGGAATGTCCTGAGGGGGTGATGGAGGTGATGTGGAGGGGGTGGTGAACAATGGGGAATGTCCTGAGGGGGTGATGGAGGTGATGTGGAGGGGGTGGTGAACAATGGGGAATGTCCTGAGTGGGTGATGGAGGTGATGTGGAGGGGGTGGTGGAGGTGATGTAGAGGATGTGATGAACAATGGGGAATGTCCTGAGGGGGTGGTGGAGGTGATGTGGAGGGGTTGTGGAGCTGATGTGGAGGACGTGGTGAACAATAGGGAATGTCCTGAGGGGGTGGTGGAGGTGATGTGGAGGACGTGGTGAACAATGGGGAATGTCCTGAGGGGTGGTGGAGGTGATGTGGAGGGGGTGGTGGAGGTGATGTGGAGGGGTTGTGGAGGTGATGTGGAGGACATGGTGAACAATGGGGAATGTCCTGAGGGGTGGTGGAGGGGATGTGGAGGGGGTGGTGGAGGTGATGTGGAGGACGTGGTGAACAATGGGGAATGTCCTGAGGGGGGGGTGGTGGGGGGGGTGGAGGTGATGTGGAGGGGGTGGTGGAGGTGATGTGGAGGACGTGGTGAACAATGGGGAATGTCCTGAGGGGGGGTGGTGGGGGGGGTGGAGGTGATGTGGAGGGGGTGGTGGAGGTGATGTGGAGGGCGTGGTGAACAATGGGGAATGTCCTGAGGGGGTGGTGGAGGTGATGTGGAGGACGTGGTGAACAATCCCTGAACAACAACTGAGCCATTTATTGTTTTACTGATGACAATTGCTTGCTTGGAAGATCAGGAAGAATAGCTTACCTGCTCCCGTTGAACCTGAATCACAGATCGCTGGTCACAGAGCTATTTTTACACATTGTGGAGTGGGCCATTAACTGTGAGATAGACTATTTTATTTTGGGGAAAAACTCACAGATCAAAACAACAATCTACCAAGTAAAAACATATACTGATCAATTTAAAAGCCTTCGACAAGATCATAAGGGATTAATTGTGGAGAACTTCTCAGAGCAGTGTTAGTTGTACAATTGACAGGGTGATGACATTTATACCCAGTCCAACAGCTTTGTTAAAGTTCTACTATGGATCTCTGTCCTATTGTGGTTCTGAGTCCTACCATGGATCTGTGTCCTACCATGGATCTGAGTTCTACCCATGGATCTGAATCCTACCATGGATCTGTGTCCTACCCATGGATCTGAGTCCTACCATTGATCTGAATCCTACCCATGGATCTGAATCCTACCCATGGATCTGAGTCCTACCATTGATCTATGTCCTACCATGGATCCAAGTTCTACCATGGATCTGAATCCTACCCATGGATCTGAGTCCTACCATGGATCCAAGATCTACCATGGATCAAACTCCTACCTAAGATTGGAGTCCTACTGTTGACTCCTTTCACCATTTGTAGCAATCTATTTGTTCCCATCAGAAAACACCAAAGCATTATATAAAATCAAAGAGTTGCAACTTATCATGCTCAATGTGTTTGTATAACCATGAATAAATGTAATATATTAAATACATGCCTAGGTTATTCAGTCCCAGTCAGACCTGGTCATCATCGTGTCTACCAAGCAAATCAACACACTGCTGTCCCTATCAGATCTCAGGTTATATTTGCTATAGTGTACATGATCATTATATTTCACCAAATCGAACAAATATTGTACAACCACAAACTAATTAGCTGAGATCCAAAAACCCTTGCCAATGTCAACACTACAGTGTGAGGTCCAGGTCTACGTGTCCTAGTTACACCTAAGGCAGTCATACATTCATGATGAGATTTTTATCCAAGTCCCCAAACCAATGACCCAATTGCACATCATTTTATAACCCTGTAGTATCTACAGATGAAAAACATGGTACATGTTTGAAGCAAATCACTAGGTTACTTGACCCGTGAAGATCCAGGGTAGACTAGGTCTTCAGCAACCCACACTTGCTGTAAAAGGTGACAATGCTTGTCGTAAGAGGCAACTAACGGGATCTGGTGGTTAGGCTCGCTGACTTGGTTGATGCATGTCATCGTATCCTGATTGCGTGGATCGATGCTCATGATTGAATCACTGGATTGTCTGGTCCAGACTCGATTATTTACAGACAGCCATCATATAGCTGGAGTATTGTTGAGTGCGGCTTTAAACAACAAATAAACAAATAAATAAACTAGGTTACTTGATGTAACACATCATGAGCACAGTCCAGCCACACATCCCTGCTTCATGCGATTCAGTTGACACTGAATGTACACATACGCCTTGAACTGAACACAGGGGTAATAATGTATGTTTCTTCCAGTGTACCAAAGGTCACAAGACGTAAAAATGTTTTGGTGTGCCCTTACAACAACAACAACAACAATAATAATAAGCCATTTATAATACGCATATTTCCACACCACACGGGGACATGTTAAAAGCACTACGTTATTATTACCTTGGTAAATGGATGAGTATGCACTCGATTTCGTTCTCAGCTCCCAAGGAAGTATACAACCAGAGCTGCCTGCCTTGAGAGGCGCAAGAAGGTTACCAGTCACATAACTATCTCATCCTACCGGGTACCCATTCACAGATGGGTAAATAGAGGCATATTTTGAACAAAGTCACTTGTCAAAGGAGATACCATGTGCTTTACATGCTTCAGTATGGGGCAGGATTGAAGCCCTAGAAACTCTAAGAGTCACGACGTCAACCATCCCATTACTCTCCGCAACAAACGTTGCATAACTTTGCTTGATTTGTGAACAATGCCACAGGATCAAGTGCCATCAGATTCAAGTTCCACTGACTGGCGTAAAAACCACTCAATCATAAAATCGAAATACTTTTTGCCGTATATGATAATACACAGTGTCACAAGGTACGGATGTTAAACAAATATGAGATTTAGGTGTGCTCTCTAAGCACCGCAAACTAATTATTAATCTTCACTGAAATACAAGGAATTTGAACCCCGGAAAAGTGTTTCTATGAAAACTACAGCATAACGATAATAATTTCCCCAATAATTGTGTTTTTGTAGCCTTAAGAATCTACATGATCTAGTTGGTAGTCAAGGTAAGACATTCCTTATCTCAAAGGCAACATACAAACAAATCAATACACTAGATCTGTTGCACCTTAACGACCTTGTACCTGTGAAGAATGTACATATATTGACACCAGTCCATAGCTACAGATCAAGATACTTGAAAAGATCTTTACCATGTCTAATGGTGTGACACTATTCTATATCTTTTGTTTCACAGATTCAAGTTTGAACAACAGGAGTAAAAAAACACAGTCGATAAAATAAAAATACTTTGAATGTTTTTTTCTAATAAAATATAAAGGTACATTAAAAGATCTAATAATGAGTGCTTGTTAACCACACAAATAATTCATTCCACATGTGACAGTGGTATAGAAGTTAAACCAGCCCATGGTTACCAGTACACAACACATTATAGCTACTCTACTGCATGCAACACAAATATTGCACTATTGGCTATTTTATGTCATCGCAACCTTTGAGCACCCAGTGTGTATGACATATCACTAACTATCTTTGCTAGTTAATATCCATCAAATTGTACTTTAAGGGGAAAGACATAAAAAATAAAAAATCATACATGCTTTTTAATAATAATAGTCCTAATTATGTGCAGTGTGGTGAGAAGAACAGCGACCCGGCAGAGTCCTTCACTTGGGTTAAGTTGGCTGGCCTGGAAAGTATAACAGAAGGCTTTCTGTTTGCTGCTCAGGACCAACCACTTCCCATTCTAAACGGTCAATGTGTGATTTTGCATCAAAATGTAAATAAGAAATGTAGATTATAATGCAATAAATGTAAAGAGACTGCCCAACACATTGTTAGTGGATACCCAGCTTTGGTACAAACACATACCCTATTTTCTTGAGTATAGTGCGCACCCATGTATAATGCGCACCCCCCTCTAGCGGGTTCAATATTTTGGAAAAAAAGAAATTTCAATATTATGCGCAGAAATTTTTTACACCGTACCCTCTCAGCGAAGTCTGGCAAACGAATGGGTGCTGAGAAACTTCGTCAGTACAAATTCGAAATTTGAGATAAAAAATCACCAGACATGTTTATTTACCGTTTAAATAGTATTTATTGTTCTGCTAGGCATTGTTTTATATCTAGGGATTAAGATTACCTTGTGTATTTTCTCGTAATCAGCAATCAGCTGTACACACGTTTTCTTGGAATCGACCGGGGATTCGGTCAAGACACACCCAATGATATAACTTTATAGGATTTTTAATGCAAGGATCGGCAACAATTGTATCTGAAACTATTTTTTTTTATCAGGAATAATATATTCCATTATTTTCTTAATTATATGCAGCCTTTACTAAACATATTTAAAATAATAAAAACCCTAAGCGAAGCAGCTGATCGCTATTCCCGGGTATTATTTTTTACATGGAACCAGTCTGACCAGTCACCGTCAAGGCTCACGCGCACATGATCGCGTGATCGCGAGAATTTCATGTTGACATAGAATCGTCAAACAAATATGACTTTTAACAAGTCAAAGTATGTCATTTATGATATATGTATCCATTCTCTGTCAACTAAAGTTCGTTTCAAGGCGACAATGGCGGTATTCTGACCGTGGTTGCTGTTAATAACGGTGAGTTGTGCGATCTTCCGATCGCTTCACACACGATTTCGCCGAAATTAATAAAAACAATATTATAAGGAATTTTGAATAAAATTAATGAAATAAGTTACAAACATAAGTCCAGATATACAAAGAACACTTTTTATAGCCAGACAGTGTAATTACATGATTATTTTGCGTACTTCAGAATGGATTTGTTGACATGGTATTTCCGGTGTTTTGTGCTCACGGTAATGTCTTTCCATGGGGGGAAAAAACATCCAAACTCATAATTCGTGTATAATGCGCACCCCCTTCTACACAGCTGTGTTTTTTCGAAAAAAAAGCGTGCATTATACTGAAGAAAATACGGTAATCTTAAGCAATATGATGGAGTGGCTTGATCATTTTATTACCGTCTTCGCCATGCTTGCGGTTTCGACACAGAGGTCCACAGGAATAGGCCCATAAACAGCCTCACACCTATCAAGACCAACAAATCTGATCTTGTCCTTTTTGATAAATCCAATGAATTCTTTTATATCATTGAATTTTCTGTCCCTCTTGACACTTATGTGAATAAGATTCAGGAAACACATGGCAAACATGAGTGGCGAGTTAGACATGTTTGCATCTCTGATAACAGATAAGACCTGGAAGACGTGGATGATAAACTTAATCGCTCCCCATTTCGTATCTATAGTAACACATGCATCTCATTAATAACATACACTACCATCAACACAAACCTTACAGTGGATTACCTAGAATATTGCCAGGATTGATTACACATAGTATTTCTAGGCAATTAATAATTCATATTAATTAGAAACCTGAAATTAATAAAGAATGGATCCATTCAACACTTCTTCATCTCCTAGTCTACAAACCAATCTCTTCCTCAGGGAGTGACTGACAATTTCTCAGATGGTGACGATGGATGGGGTTTTTGGGTATTTTTTATTAAATGATATGTTTTCATATTACACTGTAAATAGACACTACTGTTTGATGGACATGCTTGTTGACCTGAGTAAACTGTACTGTGAGAAATGGTTTATTCAGGTCCTCTTTTCACCTTTTTCACAGAGAAAAATGTGCTTTGAAGCACTGGCTGAATAA